TCAAAGACAGAAAAAGACGACTTACCGATTGTATAAACAACTTCCACATCGTCCATCTGGGAGTCAGTAATGCTGTTTTTAGCTTCGCCTTTCACTTCCCCGAGGAGAAATCCCTCCTGTGGACACAGATGAGAAGCCATCTGTGGAAGGAAGTGAGGACACTGCCCCACGCACACAGGCCTGTGCCCCTGCCTGCACACACAGGACCAACAGCTTGTAGCTTCTGAAGGGGGCAGTGAGCAGCAGCAGTGGGGGCCTTAGTGGAGACAAAAAGCTGCGCGGGCCAAAGCCACTGAGCACAGTGACAGATGGAGGATGGCTAGAGACAGGAACTCGGGCGCTGCATCAGCCTAGGTCTCAGCCCGACCCAGGGCCGGTAGGGCTGGAAGCTCCATAGGAGACTGAGATGTATCTCTAGACTGAAAACTGGGAAGTGTGACTGCAAACCACGAGAGACTGAAGAATGGAATTTGGCTTCTGAGCCTGCCAAGGAGAACGCGTTGTGCTGCAGGCCTCTGGCCAGAGCAGCAGGGATTTCTTTGCATTTCAGGAAATCCAGTTTCTCCTCGAGGTGCACTTGAAAACCCAGTGTGCTTGACAATGAAATTTTACCCTTTTGAAAGTTAATACAGGCCTGGGGAGATAGCTCAGTAGAATAAGCACTTGCCTGGTAAGCACAAGGTCCTGCGTTCAATCCCCAGTACAAAAAAAAAAAAAAGAAAGAAAGAAAAAGAAAAAAAGAATTGTGCTGTGCTCTCTTCGTAAGCACATATACTAAAATTGGAACGATAAAGAGATTAGCATGGTCCCTGTGCAAGGATGACAAATTCGTGAAGCTTTCCATATTTAAAAAAAAAAAAAAAAAGTTAATACAAAAACCTACGACCCTAGCCCAAGGGCTGAGCACAGGGTGGCGTCCACAGGGTACTCAGGGAACCACCCGAAACCTACTTGTTTTTTCTCAGCCTCACTGGGGCACAAGGTCTGTGGGTTACAAAGGCACCTTCGGTTCACATCTACACAGAGCTGTCCCCAGATAAGCTCCACAGCCAGTTTAATTTGCCCTGTCTATCTGCTCTTTGCTGGATATTAATTTGTAAAGGTCATTTGAAATAGTATCCACTGCCCAGTGAGGTGGCACACACCAGTCATCCCAGCACTCGGGAGACTGAGGCAAGAGAATTGCCTGAAATCAAGGATAGGCTGGGCTGCACAAGCAAGTTCCAGGCCAGTCTGTACTACTGTACTACATACTGAGGCCCTGTCTCAAAAAACAAAAACAAAAACAAAAACAACGAAGATACACACAAAACATGCTGATTACAGTGATTCTTAGGATCCGTTACAAAAGCAATCTGGGGTAACTTGAGACAGACAGGGTCCCGCTGTGTAGTCCAGCCTGGCCTTGAACTCGCTGTGCACCCGGGCTGGCCTCGGCCTCGGGGCGATTCTCCCGCCTCAGCCTTCCAAGGGCGGGGCTCACTGGCGTGCGCCTCCACTCCCTGCGTTCTATTACAGAGAAACCACCGGGCACCGCTCGGCGTGGCGTCCTTCCTGTCACGGAGACGGGTGCAGCTGGGAGGCTGCGGGTCCCCAGTCTCGGCGCCTTCGCCATTCCCTGGTCGCAAGCGGCGCTGTGTGCTGGACACAGCGCGGTTCTCCACCTCACCCGCGGCTGAGCACGGAGAGGAAAGCGCCAGCGCGCGCGTCAGACCGCAGCAGCGGGCCGGCGGGCCAGGCGAGCCGAGCAGGCTCGGGAGAGGCGCCGGGCGGGAGAGCCGGCTTCCACGCCGCCGCCGCGCACGC